ATTTGTATACGATACTCATTGTGAACAAATAGAATAAATTCGTTGTTTATGTATATATATATATATATATATATATATACAAAGGGCTTTGGGGAGACTTCAAAGGGATTTTAATATTATAAACACAACTGTCAATGGGAGGGATAGGGTAGGATAGGAACGAGGGGTAGAGGCGGCAACGGAGGTGGCGCGGCGCGGAAGGGTGTCGAGTTAAACGGCAAAACGCGCACCGCCACATCAAAGTGGAATCGGAAAGCCTTTGAACGAGCGGAACTACACTCACCTTGTTTCACTCAAACGGGCCTTTGATGTTCTTTGTGCGTAAACGTTGTTGTGTTTATTATTACCACCGTGCGGGAAATCCAATGACACTCGTTCGCGACGACACCATCGCGGAACATGACGGATTATTACAATTATTTATTTTTTATTTTTGCCTATTACTTTCGCGGCATTACGGTGGCACGACACGTTCGAGTATCCAACGTTAATTATTATTATTTTTTTTTTTTTCTTATTGAAAACAAACGGCGGCGGAAAAGTCGACGCACACGAGAAAAACTGCGTCGGCAGCAGGCCGAACCGGACGAACGGACGGAATTCCTGATGATCACTGCCCGTGTGTACGTCGTGTCGTGTGTACCCGTGTTATTGAATATTATGATTGTGTGTAGTGTGTGTTGCGAGTATTTTATTTTTTTTTTTTTCTCTCCTTATGATTGTGTGCGGTCGTGCGGGTGAACGTGCGTGCGTGCGTTAGTGCGTGCGTGCGTGCCGCGTGCTATTGTGATGAGGGAGGGGGAGGACAGAACGGGACGCGTCGCGTCGTCAGGCGACGATGACCGGAGCCGCGCGAACGGCCGCGGCGGCGGTACACGCGGAGATTTTCGAGTGCACGTCCAGCACGTTGCGTTGCCGCCGCCGCCGCCGCCGCCGCCGCCGTAGCGAGTATACGCACGCACGGCGGCCGAGTGGACGGCGGCGCGGCGCGCGCACTGCCACCTGTAGGACAACGGCAAAACGTCCGTCGGCATTTAAAATATGCGCCGACCGTTACGAGAACGATTCAAATTCGAATACAATATAATAAAACACGGCAGCTGCGTAGGTACATAGGTATAATATTGTACGGGGATTCGACCATTTTTTTTTTTTTTTCCTCTCAAACTGGTTTTACAGCGAAAATTCGGTTCGCCGCCGTTGCGGTGTGCCCGCCTGTGCGCGCACCGCGACAACCATTCCTATTCGGTCTTCTACCCCCTGTTGTTCGGCCGCCACCGCCACGAAATAAAATAATATCCGCCACGCCGCCGGGGAAACTATTATTTTCGTTTACGTTTCATTCGAATTTCGATGGTTTTATTTTCATTTTTTTTTTCTTCTGATCGACGGTCGTCGGTCCGTCGACATAAGGTCGCGAACAACTATTGTAGATAATATTAACGACCCATGCGACTTACCTATAATATAAGTACACATTATTGTTACATAGATATATTTTTTTTTTTCGTATTAGCCATTTTTTTACTCAACGCGACTGGGGCGTGTGCAGTCGTTTTTTCGAGGACGCGTTAAACGGATCGCCGCACTCTAATATTACTCGGAATATAAAAATCTCCCGGCTGAGGAACAAACCTTTCTTTCGTTTTCTGGTCGATCGACTGTCGCTATTCGGCCGACTTTATAATATATAACGATTCATTTGGTCGACTCTGGCCGGGATTCTGACAACGCCGAACCATTACTAACGAAAAACGATTCAAAGCGAAGTTCGGCTTTCAAAGGCCGTAATATTTACGATTTTAGTCAAAATTTGATATGTTTTAATATAAATAAAATAATACATATATATATATTATATTACACTTCATTTTTATCTTTGGCTACTAAATACAGTTGTATTTATAATGAACCTCTTGTTAAATTTTCAAATATTTCTGTTTGGTCAAACAATTTTATCCACGGAGTACCTACCAAATAAAAATTACGTAAAAAACTCAAAATATTAAAATGACTATAAATAGCTAAAAAAAAAAGGCTCAAATGTTTTTCTTTTAAATTTTACCATGTCTAGAAAAAGGAAACACGAGTTTTCTGTTAAATTTTCAAGCTCTACGAATATTCTTAACTGAATTACCAACAAAAAACAAAATTGAAAATTATAAAAGGAGTATTTTCCTAAATTTTGCCGTTTTTTACTATTTTTTTTTTTTACGGTTTTTCTTTTTTCTAAATTATGAAAAAACTATAAGGAAAAATCAAAAAACGGCTTTCTTACTCATCAACTAGTTTTAAAATATAACAACAAAAGGCTATTAATAGCTCAAGTATTGCCAGAATGTTTTGAAAATTGTACGAAATCTAGACAGTCGTACGATCGATGTCATAGACGTCTATAAAAATTTGATATCAATTTCAAGTACTGTCTGTTAATTTAAACAGAATTACAAAAATAAAAAAAAAAACTAAAAAAACAAAAACCATTATTGGGCAAATTTCTCCGTTTTTTTAACATTGTTTTGTTATTATAAACTATTAAGAAAAATATACGGAAAATTAAAAAATATGAAATAATTTCCCAACTAATCAATTTTGTACAGCAGGTATATGTATGATAGTTTTGTGAACTTGTATTTAATTTAATTGTAACGCCTTAAATAGCCAGGTGATACAACATTACATACTTCTAAAATGTATGAAACGCCTACATATTATTATGTCATATTAGATAGGCAGAATGAGTGGTGGACAGACCTATCGAAATATCTGTATTTTTTCCCACCCGTACTTAATTACAGGGCCCATGTAGATCTCAAGACCTTATTTAATGTTTTAAATTACATATTATATTGATTATAAAATAACAATATCGAATTTTGTAATTGGAAAAAATTAATTAAAAATAACTATTACGTTTATATTATAATCACACGTGGGTAAAAAATATCAATTTCTAATAAATATATCAAACTTTTCATTGTAACTTGTCTGAAATATATGCATTTCGATATTCAATTACTCATTTATTTTGTATTTTTAAGCCAATGGGGAGGGGATATAATCCCTAACTTCCTCCCACTGCGCATGCCACTGCATCATATATCTATATCTCTAACATACATTATCTTTTTATCAACAACTTTTTGATCGTCTATACATTACGTTCTGCCAAGTGTCGATCCATTAGATTTGGAATTACATGGCAGTGAATATTATAAAAATTTTCTCACGAAACACTTTAAATTAATTTACCTCATAGGCGGACAATTATCTGTTACTATAGTTTTTGAGTACTAAAATGATTTGCCGAAACTCCGTTTACTTTTGTTACCGTTGTATTTTCCGTTGCAAAACAATCAATTCTCCTACTAAAACTGTATAATTAATATCAAGTTAAATTATTATTTAACTTGATTTATCTATTTGATATTACAAACTAATATATATATATATGTATATACATATTAGTTGTTAGCATATTGTTCACATTTCCAAAAAAGCATCCATTCTATGCGGTCTACTAAAATAAAGAAATAGTCGGTACGCTATAAAACATGTGACCAATTATTTGGATTGCCTACTCAGTCCCGTTTGTGTCTCCTCCCCCCGAGTTAAGCACTGGTCACATCAAAGTTCGTTTTGAGTTTGGAGAGTGCAAAAACATCAAAAGCGTCATGCTGCGGTAACAGTACAGCCAATTCCTGCATTGAGTGTCCAATTCACAAATCAACAATAAAAAGGGTCCCACGAGTGCCTCCTCACAATCAACTCGAAAACGTTGCTGCCACATGGACATATTTTCTAAGTCTCACCGTTCTATACTTCAATCAAACAACAAACAACTTAATATCGTTTAATAAAATTGTAAACTATGAAGTATTAAATTAGAATTTATATTTGTACGAATCATTTTCATGTGTATCGTGTATTACGTTAATCTCGGTTTACGCTATAAAAATTGTATTATTAAAATTTCATTATATGATTTTCATTTAGAAACGTAGGTATTAGATCATCTAAAATTCTAAATAATAATCTCTACTTCTATTTCATTATTTTCACGCTTGCCGGGTTCACATCGATAAAATAATTCGTATTTAGCTATCCCTTGATATATTAACCCTAAACTCGTTTGTCTTAACTCATATTCCTGCTATAAATCTAGATTAACTGGCATGGTTTAACATGTAAACAAAGTAGTTATTTTCACGGTTATTGTGTCTATTTCCCGCTGTTTCTACGGTTTTTTTTTTAAATTATTAAAAAAACCACTTCAAAAATCAAATAATGATCTATCATTGCAACAACTAGACACAATTATCTATTGAAAAGATATTACACTTATAATAAAACGCTTCAGGGATTTCACCAAATTTCTTTCAATCTCTTGGTTATTTTCATACCTGATTGTCTCTCATAATCGTATCTGGAATTATAAAAATTATCGTTTCTTATAAAATCAACCTAAATTGAATTTAGAAACAATAATAAAAAAAACCCATAAGTAATTATTATAATTTACCATCTCTTCTACGTTCTATACACAAACAAATAAAACAATTTATTATAAAATCAACGACTTATTCTTATTTCGTTTTGCTCAATCTAAAAAAGTAAATAATAAACAAAAATGCAACTGTAAACTTTTATTTTGGGAGAAAAAATACAAACTAGGTATATAACTTATAGTAATATAATTTATACATAATCGTAATTATAATAATAAGTATAAATTAGTATTAGCACTTTGATCTATAATTAAATATACCTAAGACTAGTCATATATACACACATACATACATACATATATTATACACACGCAATGCACATGCATATACATTATACACATACATTGGTATTATACAAAATTGAATTATTCCTATTTGATTTAAATATACTTATAAACTTAAATAATATACAAACAAATGAAATGTATACAATACAAAAACGAAATTATTAAATATTGAGTTAAAATTAATTTAAAATTTGAGTTATTTACTCACTTCTTAAAGATTTTAATTTATATCTAATGTATCCTAGCTATTTAGATTTGTACCATTTTGTCCTTCCTAACTTAATCACTGTGACAATATACTATTGCTTTTCGCGATAGGCACCTACATATTTTTATATCAAGTACCTACCTACCTACCTATTTATATCAAAATAATGGCGCTAATTTAAAGTAGATATAAAATCCCGTATAATGATTATTATTTTTAGTTGCTTCAAGTAACTTTTAGCTGAAATAATGAATTAATTAATTTACTTAGGCCATTTATATTTTATAAGAAATTATAGTCACCTCACCTAGTTTTAAAATTAACACTTCATTAATTTATTTATTCCGCTATGGACCCATTATTTATTTTAACTGATCGATTATCATATTTTTTAAGTTAACATTATTTATAGCAAACATTAATCAAGTTTAGTAGAAACTAGAATGAATAAACAATATGGAAGTTAAAAATGTATATTATAATAATATACTTATGTGTAGTTGCAATTTCTAGAGATTATAATTTATATTGGTGAATATAATAATACCTAATTATCTACTAAATCTCTAATTAAAGTAGTAATAAATTTGAATATTTTATATTAACTTTTGTGTATATTTAATCCTAATAATTTTTATTTTATATATTTTGATAAAAATATTGAATACCTGCAGTTAATAAATAATACTTGAAAAATTACGTAGGTACATAGGTAAGTTTAAAAGTAAAGGTGCCTTAAACTTTTTGAACGAACTATATACACTAATTATACAGTATATATTTAAATTAAATCAAAAATGATGATTACAAATAGATAATACAAATTTTAAATTTTTAAAACGTTATGAAACGCATACATTAGGTACAATTAAATGAATAAATAACTCATAATAATTTATTATGAATAATGAAAATTATAACAATTAATAACATTTTTTTAAACTTTCGTTTTTTTTTTCATTTTATTAACGGAAATATGTAGTTATACGATTTGACTCATATAATTTTATGTTGTTATTTTGTAATTTCAGTTTGATAAAAAATTGAAGTAGTTATACGAGTATCTATTTATTATTTAAATAATTCAATGATATACATATTGATAACCGTAGGTATTAAAAAATGTCAAACTCGATGCTAAACTAACAGTCTTGACTAAAATTTCTTCTGATTTTCAAGTAATATTTATAAAATAAATTTGGAGTAATTATTATTAAATTACCCAAATTATTAAAATAGATGTTTAATGTTTATATACAATGATTATTGATAATATTATAATGGTTTTATACATTGCGTACTTATACACTCAAATATGGCATTATTTTAAAATGTTTATCTTTTAGTTATACGTTATTTAATTGTCCATAGAAATAATTTAGTCCCTATACATTTTATTTGTGTAAAATGTGTTTGACAGCATAGACCCACTCAATCTGTCATGTTTATTATAATTTTGCGAATCCATGCAAAGTCAAAAAGTTGTTTCATAAAACAATTTAATTACCTATCAGAGATTAGAAAAAAAAAAATTACCAATAATCTATATATGTAAATTTTATGTGCATTTTTTGACCTCATAATTTACCGAGTATTATATTAAGTATTTGCAGTAAATTAAATGAATAATCATATATTACCGTAGTTTATTGATTTAAAATTAAATAATTATTGTTTCGTCGGGAAAATGAAATTCTTGCCTAAAAGGCCTTCTTCTGTTCTTTATGTTTCTATGTGGTCGTTGTCTTGAGGTTCGAGGAGGTGGTAATAAATCTATTCCGTCTAAATATTTCGAGCCCCTCTCTGCAGGAGGACTTAAAAATGGTGGCACTTTTGGTCTTGATGACAGTAGAACAGAGTCCGTATTCAATATGCTTTGTTCAACGAATCCACTACATTGTGCAGCGCAAACGTCATCTTGCATCATTTTATCGAAACCGACTTCGTTCATTAAACGGCCGCAGTCGGTTACTCTTAATGAAGCACAGTTGGTCTAGTTTTACAAATTCAAAATAAATACAATAATTATTAATTCTATACAGTTGAAATTGATAAATATAAAACAATTACCCCTTCGTGTGTACAAATACAGCTAGTGCAAGGCGATGGCAAATGCGATTCGCCGACTGCAATAATACGACCGTTTATATTACAGCTCTGTCGATTGTCTTTCCATAGAGTTAAGTCGATTGTTGGTAATACTTGACAAGGCAGCCGCGGATTTCTTAAATTAAAATTATATATTTGTTTATTTATAATAAGTAAACAACTATTCTATGTTTGCATACTGAAATAAGCGTATATAGGTATAGTAGTTTCGATCCAAACTATCAATTGTCTCATATTAAAGGCACATGAACTGGTGTAGTGGACAATTAATATTTTCATAAATAAAATTGTTATCAATATAAATCTTGTGAAGGAAATGAAATATTTAATGGTGAAATAGGAATGAATAAATAAAGCACAAAATACAAACAAAAGTAATTTGGCATTTCCTACATTATTATTTGTATAATTAATATCAAAGTCAATCAATGTTAAGTTAAACCCAAAACACATGTTCAGTCTAAAATGTACTCACAGATAATCGTTCGGTTGATCAAATGCTGCTTTTTGCATATCACTGTGTACATCCATATTTTCACATAATATTTTAGCCAATGTGGCTTTTCGGATTTCTGCAAGTTGGGCTTCAGGAAATCTTAACAATGGATTATCTGTTTCAAACCTGTTTCAAAAATAACATTGTTTGACCAATAAAATAAAATAAAAATCAACCCAATTAAAACATTACCAAAACCGATCACACTGCTTCAATTGTCTGAATTGTAAGCCTATAATACACGCAAAAGTTGGTCCTACAAGACCACCTTTTACAGGATATTCACTTAAACCTCCAGGGAATAAGTCGATATCGTCTGGGCTAGCATATATAATTTTAAATCTTGCAATAACGTCTGGGTGTAGTTCTCTTGTTAAATCGTCCCAAGTATTTGCACGTTTAAGGCCACATCTTGCTCTGAATGTATTATATGAAGGAACACCATGATCACGTCCTAAATTGTCCAATTGTAAAAATATCTAAATATTTATTATATTATTTCAAGATTATTTTTACCTCTTTGAATGTTTAGAGCAGGTAAATCTTGTCCAGAATGAGGTATTTTCACGTTTTCAAATAAATGGTTCGTTATTTCACCAGTTACAAATTGATCCAAGTTTTCCATAGGCGTACTAATTTGACCTCTAACTATTTCATCAATCATTTGATCCTTAAATATTAACAATAATAATATATCAGACCAATTCATAATTAAAAAAAAAAAAAAAAACAAGTAAAGATTGTTCCAAAGTAAATCATACCCTATATATAACATCAGGATTAAAAAAATTTTCTCTTAATAACAAAGCTGGTTCTAAAGGCTGATATGTTGGCGACATTCTAGGAATATGAGGTCGTAATAAACTATGGCCTATTCGAAAAGCAGCTACAGCAAATTCAGTAAATGGCCCCGGATGACAATCAGAAGAATAACCTTCAAATTACATAAAAATATATATTTGTTTAGGTTTGTTAGTCAATTAGTAATGCATATAATTTAATATTATTAAAATTGAAAAACAAAATACTTTTGTAATATCCAGCTGAAGAAATTCTTAAGTCATATTTGTCTATAGCTTCCCAGCCTAAGATACGTGGCAAGAACTCATTGTAAACAATATGCTGGTAAGCTGCTGTGAATATTTTTCTAGCATTTTGATATATAATTTCATCATTCCAATGTGGATTTAACCTATGTAAAACTTCGGCAATACGATTGTGTTCTCTCATAAAAATTGTGTGAATTGAAGTCAGTCCGGCTTGTTCACTCACTCGACCATCGCCTAAATAAATGTTATATAAAAAGTGATAACTATATTTAATTATTAATTTTTATAAACTATTGTTAATAGTTCAATATAAGGTGAGATCTAATTTAAAATTTGGGCTTTGGTTTGGAAACTGTCTCAGTTTGGTCAAATAGAAAAACCAGAAAAGCTGTAAAGACCTTTCATACATATTTTTGGATATAAAAAGAGCTTTAAAGACATGCCATCCTTTAATATTGCTAACGAAATTGGTTTAGTGTCATCAGCTACCCGTCGAAGTATTCTGATGTTGTATTCGTGTACAAGTTAATAAACGGTATAACAAATTGTCCGGAGTTATTGCCAAAAATTGGTTTTAGAGTCCTTGCTTTTGATTCTAGAAATAAGTCTAATCGTACTTATTCCCCCTTAAGGAATAATTATTACGTAAATAATAATCTGATTTTAATTTCGATTCAATTACCATACTAAGATTGTAAAACTTGCTTATCAAATTGTATCTATGTGTTAAGATAAAAATAATGCTTTCTGTATAAGTATAAGTTTACAAATAAGCATAATAATTAACCCTCTGTATCTTACCCCATGCGGGTGTTAATTAATAAAATAAATAAAAATATTTTACAAACCTCCAATAAAGCAATAACCAGATGAAGATTTGCATTCTGGATGCACATTAGATTGGGGCATTAAATCCTTCCTCGACGGTATTGGATGTAATGTTACATTGAGTTTACCAAGATAAAATGCTCTAAGATTTTTAGCTAAACATGAGTCCGACCCATAAACGCTGGAAAGATCTAAGTACGCAGAATTTTGATTTGTTTGATCTCTAGGGCCCAAACGTTGTTGACCTGGTAAAGATCTCATAAACGGCAAGCACATTCGATGTCCAGTAGAAATATTTACTTGGGGATAATAAGGGTCCCCAGATGGTATTGGTATTGGCATACATTCTGGATGAACCGTAATTGGACTGTCGCATGAACGGCAGTCAGGTATAGATGAGAAAAATCCTAAACAAATTCTTTTGTAAACTACGATAAACTAAAAATATAAAATTAAAATCAAGTGATATTTACCTTTGTGAACCGGTGTAAACGTTATATCATGATCTAAAAACTGAGCGAATTGCATAAACATAAGTGTATAACGGCCATGCAGATGACTGATATCTGGATGAGACATGGCGCTCACTAATCTAGCAGATGGTAATGGAGTACCAGTCACGGATGTCATTCTTGGCTGATTTATACCTAAAGATAATTTATTGTTCAAGCTATTCCATAAAATTATTTTTTATTAATAGTGTTATTCGGGATTTTACCGTTTTCATAAACAGCTGGAACTATGCGTTGAAAAGTCATCATGGCTTGACCAAAATGCGGGTTTTTCAAATTATTACAATAACCACTAAATGATCTATATGGATTAAAAACATCACAAGGATATGTTTCAATAGGACATTCACCTTCACTGTGATATATTGGGGGTGGATATAGTTCAGTAAGTTCTAAACCGTCGAAGAAATTAGGTCCGATCGAATTAATGCTAAATAATGGATCACCACTATCCAAGACTTGACGACGACGACGTCTAAAATCCGGTAAATAAATAATTGATATGATTCATCTTAATAAATTACTAAAACTAACCTTTTTCCTAACGATTTCAATAATTCTTTTGAAGCGTACTCGAATAATAATGAATTGTTTGCTAATATTAATGCTGTTTTACTTGCTTTACTAAACGCAGCAGCTGTTCCAAGGGAAGACTTAGGATCTACTCCTCCTTCTAAATATACATAAAACAAATTAAAATATTTACTAATTTTTAATGTATTTGCATTAATGTGTTTATACTTTTTGACCATAACAGAAATTCAGTTTGCTTTCTTCTACCAACGTCATCTTCAGCCTTTCTCCATGCTTCTCTGACTAGAATTTGATTATTGATTCGTTCAAAATCTTGTTCCGTTGTATTGACTATCATTTCATTATCACTTATCGCTGAATTATCTTTCCATTGGTAAATATCTAGTTTAGAATGTTGATCGCAATTTAGTGGATGATTTCTGAAAGTGAAAAATAAAAATTACCTACGTTTATATGCTGGAAAATAATACTAGGTAGTTACAAAAATAAAAATACGGCTGCACTCAAATTGCATGCTAAAAAAAAGAAATATCCGAATTGCATGCCATCTCTTAGAAAGGTTCGTTCGAATTGCATGCCACCTTTTACAGAAGCCTGTCCGAATTGTGTGTCGTGTATAATTTTCATATCAACAATGAAAAATAAAAATCGTGGAAACGAAAATGTTTAATTGTCTTGAGTTAATTTTTAATTTAGTAATTAAAAAGAAGGCAAATTTATAGCCAAATAAATTTAAGTTTTTTATTCATTAATATTGCTTTTCTTTTTTTGAAATATTTGAAGTCTAAATTCAAAAAATTAAACTGTGATAAGTAAAATTATACAAGGCACGCAATTCGAACCGACCTCTTTAAAAGGTGGCATGCAATTCGAACGTTCCAATTTATTTTTGTTTTTTTGGCATGCAATCCGGACGCACCGAAAAATACATATTACCTACAAATAAATATAAAATTACTGATATCAACATAATTATGATCGTTATTAAACTTACAAATAGTCATCTCGATCAATAAAAGCTTTTGGCTGTATCGTCGAAATATCTTCAAAATTTGCACAAATAATCCCGGCTAGTGTGCTTTGTCTAATCTCTTGTAACTGACCTTTACTGTATGTAGAGGGTGGGAAGTCGTTCTCATACCAGAACCGATCACTATTCTTAATTAACGAAAACTGATTAGCAAGTAAACATGAAAATGTTGGACCGAAAACTGCTCCTTGTAACGGTGTTTCTAGTAAACCTCCAGTTAACAAGTCCATATCACTGCAAGTTCTGTTGAAATTATTCAGTATAAATTATATATACATAATAATCAGACAATTGTATGTAATATTATTTTAAGTATACTTGTATAAAGTCTTATTGAGTTTATCTAAAGATTCGTTTTCTGATTGAAAAGACCCATTTGAACATACATTTTTCCATATTTTATAGCTAGGGATTTTTAATTGTCTACCCAAACTTAACAACGCTTCGATATCTGTTAAACGTACAACGCAAATAATTTTTATATTAATATAATTTCACGAACAAATTATTGCAACTAACTTTTCTTTGGCAAACTGTAGTTTTTGGTATTCCCTAAATTGTTTTGATTGTATCTATCAAATATGACTGAAGGCAATATCGGCAATACCGTAGCAAATATACTTTGCATAGTACCCGGTTTATTAGAGCTCGAGTAACCTGTATAATATCCACGTTTTAATGGATTCAGATTCCATTCATTCATCAGTGTCTGCCAAAATTAAATTCGTATATCATTTAAAATTGAAATAAAAACCAATCGAATAGAAATTTACTCACGTGTCCAATTATATTAGGAAGAAACTCGTTATACGTAATGTGTTGCAGTTGTGCAATTGTTATTCGTTTAGCTTCTTCATATAATGTATTATTTGACCAGCCTGGATTGACATCCCTTAATTCGTCAACTAGCCGGTTATGTTCTAATATTAATAAATTATGTATTGTTGTCGAGTAATCCGAGTTGTCGATCGAAGAACTAGAATAAAACTAATTAAAATATATATATATATTTTTTTTAACTAATTTGTATTCTTTTACAATTTATATTCACAAACCTAGCACACGTAGTCAGTTTAAGATGACCTATATGAGATTTAGTGACACTCATTGAAGATCCTTCGCAAGACACGCTGTTATATATTGGAGATGCGTCTAAAAAACTAGACGCAGCGTTTAGCAAAATTCCATTATCTAAACATTCGTAAATATAAATTTCATTACCATCACCTATTTAAAATCAAATTTTTATACCAGTTATGTTTTCAAGGGCTAAATCCAGTCTAATGAAATCTGCCCACATTCCCGACATTACCGTCAAATGTTTGTTTCCAGCTATCGAAGAACTACTTAATAGTTCTGCCACATCCGAAGCTTCGGGCCATTTATTAGAATGCGATTCGTCTAAACAATCAAAAAGCCATAATAATCGAATAGAGATTTTATACCTAAATTTTATTATCAACATTCAATCAAATGGTGATTTTACTTTGGACTTCCAAGAAAGGTTGAAGAAACGGAGAGTTCTTTTGGCCCCAGTTCGGTCGATGGACATTATTACATCGGCCGTCGGCATTTCTATACTTACTAACAGTGCATTTCCCATTCACGAAACTACTCATAGTAGCAATATAAATAAGATATATTCCCAACATCAGGAACAACCTAATAAAATTAATGCATTTTTTTTTTTTTTAGAAATCATTTTTTTTTTTAATTATTGTATTGAATGTATGAAAAAAAAAAAAAGAATTTACACAGCTGAAGAAGATACACATATATTCTATTTAGTACTTTCACTACATAATAAACTCGTATTTAAATTATTTATATTTATTTTATTACTAAAGTATTTTTTATACAAAGTATGATATTTAGATACAAATGAATTGTACTAATACGTTTTACAAGTATCATTATCATATATAACTGCAAGAATTTCAATTAATTAATTAAATAGACAGCTTTGCCATGTGCATACAATATAATATAATAGATAATAGTATCGTGTTGAGATGCGTATGTGTCAGCTGTTCAATTATTGTGTATGGATAATAACTAATTATCTAGTTAAATATTAAATTATTCCACTAACTTAATCATTTGTACATGTAAGTTAACAAAATGCGTACAGACACAGACAGTGGTGGCGAGAATGAGGTATATCTGAATCACGTGATTCACAGTAAAACGGGCGGGTGGGTCACGTGGGTGCCTGAGTGTTCAGAAATATAACAAAACTTATTATGTTTTTCCAAAAAAAAAGTCATTAAAATTTTTACACTGCGAAAATTTGATACATTTTATTAGAGAGATTTAGCAAGATTTCTGAGAAGAAAGAAAACTTTGCTTTTGTCCCTGGTTTGTAAATTTTGGGATAGGTGGACGGGTGGGTGAAAAATTAAATCGGTGATTCAAGGTAAAAATACTTCGTGCCGCCATCTGGATACAGATACGTTTTCACTTTTTAGTTGATCGTTTATTATATGATTACTTTACATTATATATTGTAATATAATAATACGATAATAAAAATAATTTCTATTTTATTTAGAAAATTGTAAAGAGATAAAAATTGTTTTAACGTTGGTAGTAAGTTATTCAAATATTTTTAATTATTCCAAAATGCTATAACGTTATAAACAACTAAATAATGCTAATATTTTTGGAGCCACCTAAAGCATTCTATGTAAGACAGAAATCTGTTTCATACCTACCTCACTGAAATAAACAAAATATTGTATTCCTGGTTTTTGTATATTTTGGACCTATAAAACTATTTTGCTAATTTTATGTTTAAAGTGTTATTTATAGGCATATTGTTTATGTAACAAAAGAAATGAACACGTCATATTGTTGAATATTTTTGATTTTTATTCCAAATTTTTCGACTAAACGCATTCGAAAAACACTGTCGTATTTGATTGTTATTGACTATTTTATCACACAATACTCTGGTCGTTTGCTAAAGTTTGATTATTTTTAAAACCGTGTTAGTCGTATATTACCTATAGCAATATTATCGAATAAACCGATTTGGATTCATCGAATTTACGTGGGACACGCTGTTATTGTCATATGAATTAGTATTATATAGTAACTAACGTGCACAGTGATTTTATTATAGTGTTCTGCGCCGTCATCCAAATTTCTTCAAAAAATAAATTTTTATTATATTTTCTATTTTTTAGTGCTATTTATAGAGCTTATCTGGATGTTTTTAATGATATATTATTAAAGTGCTAAAAATTAACACTTTAATGGCTAATACTTTCGAGCCTTGATTACAAATGACAGACTGGTAGTTTAATTTCCTAAAAAATCGTAAAAATAACTTACAAATATCAAAAGATACCATATCAGTTTAAAATTTAGTTTTTACATTTTAAATAAATAAAAAAACATCTACAGTATGCAGTTTGCACCTATATAAATACCAATACATAAATAGGATAGTTTTTTTACAATATTAAATAATTGATAATGTAACCTGCAATAATGTAGGTACATGAATAGTGCTGAGATATTTGATCTATCGTTATTTTATTTTTTTGTATATTTAGTTGAAATACATTTTGGCAATTTTTGAGCTATGAATAGCCTAATGAAACTGTACCTTTTTTTAAATTTTTATTTGGTTTTTACATGGATTAAATTGTTTTGGCCCAGCGAAAGTGTTTGACAATTGAATACAAGGTTACTTGTACTTAGTATTGGTAAAAAAAAACTCAAGTTTACTATAGTAGTTTTCCTAAACATAAGTTCTAAGCTTGTCAAAAAAATATAAAATATTGATAAAATTTTGATAAAAAATAAGGCATTTGAAAACCTGTTTATGGGAACTTCGATAAAAATAATTTTTTGTTGGCAATGATTTATCGTTGTATACAGATATAAATTAAATAACCTTATAAACCCACCTACTCAACTTTTTTTATAAAGATTTAAATAAAAATTAAGTGAATAAATGCTTTTAAACTATAAAAATGTCATTAATAAATATCCTAAAAAGTTGAGTTCAATTTAAAAAAAAAATCCATTCCAAAGATACGAATAATATTAAAATAATCAGTATACCTTATTAACCTGATATACGTATTTTCCAATTTTCCACTTACAGATACGTTTTAAAGCGTCAGGAAAAAAAATGAAATTTTATCCAGATTCAGATGTTATAAAACACTCAGGAACTGTATTTTAATATTTGAAAGTAAGTTTTACATCAATATTTCCGTTCAAAATTTAAATAACCTGAATAAAACCCAACTATATGATATACTTAACGTGTTTTGCAAACGTGAGTAAAAACTAAAAGTAAAATGTACAGTTACCTATTTCAATAATATTTTATACAAACCGGTATTACCTACCTATGATAATTTGGAACTACAAGAAGATTGGGAATTATTTTTATTTTTTTTTTATATACATATAAACTGTAATAATTACCTACAGGAGAATACCAATTAGATAGTAAATATATTTATTGACTATCGAATTGGTACCAAACAAGGGTATAACGTTTAGCTTATCTGACATTATGAAACTTGTAATTTGTTGTAAACAGTATTCAAATAAGTGAATTTCAATACTTTTTTAATATAGAATATTTATTATAAACAATTCCAGCACAATTATTCGAATACATTTATTTTGAATTTTTCCTAAACCTAAAAATTAGTTTTAAATATGCGACAAAAAAAAAAAATGTGTTTAAAATTATATGGCCACATAGTAAATTATGAACATATTTAGAATTCAGTTTTACCTCTAATCGAATTGATCGAGCGTGATTAACTCATGGTGTAAATTACGATTATTTTAATAATATATTGAACTATTATATGTTTTTCCACTTGTTAATTTGAACACGTATTCTGTATACAAAAGTATTCTTCATAAGACTGAATTTGTGTCAATTACATATTGTTGATTGTACACGACCCGCGGGTTATATACTTGGCATTCTACGGAGGCGGACGAAAAAATTACTACCTCGCATTACCAATACAATAATACTGTTATAAAACGAATTTACACAATCAGATATCGATTATTTCTATTAATAATAGTAAATTAGTATGTACCGTCGATAATTATTGCAAAACAAACGATTACAGGCATGGTACAGAATATGATGATTGATGAGACCGCGGCGGTGAATCGTTCGCACGAAATACCTACGACGACGCGCTACCGCATACGCGATAGGCGGTGCTGTTCTCCACGATAACAGCCGTAGAAATACTTTTCGCCGCGCAGACACGAATGTCGAACACTCGAATCCGGTTACGTAATCCGGGGAACCTTTTCGAACGCTTTCTAGACCATTGAACAATTTCGGTTTTTAACGGAAACAGGGTTTGCACCACTATTCCATTTCAACTTATTGAAATTTTGTTTGTTTGTTCGTTTCTTATAAAAAACCGACACGTTTATTCCGATGAAATTCGTTACACTTGACCTTCGGAATAAGAGGAAGTTCGCTGTCTACTTTGCATTCCCGAATTGAACCCCTAAAGGGCGGTACACATATTATGATTTTGGATATTAATAATATACGAAATTGAACTTTTTTGTTCATTTCTGGTTCGCCTTGGTTAAACGGATGTCACGGTTAATTATATTGTCACGGATAACGCCGCGCCGGACAAGACAACTAGTATTATTTCATAATTTAATAGTTACCTATTTGTTTTGTTAATGTGTTAAAATGATGCTATAAAATTATGGTCGACAATATAAATGTAATAATTAAGTTTCCAATACAACAGTAAACTGCCGAATTACGAAAAATTACGTATAATGCCAGAACTATTAAATATGCATAAACATAAAAAATTGTATTTTTAATCGATTGGTAAAATTTAGAGTAAATTATGTAGCGTGCTTTTATATGCATAAATTATTTCATCCCACAATACCAACTTCGCCTAGAAAAATATGCCTCACCCAAATATTTACATAACATTTAACGTAACACGTATAAGGTATAGGTAATATAGAAAGTTTTGATCGCGCATATTTCGTAAAGTTAATGACACATTTTAAGAACAAAAATCATGATTACATTCTGCCCGTGGTTACAGGTGAAGTGATTTAAAAAAATTTAAAATAGATTATTATGAAAAAAATCGAATAGCCTTAATAGATTGTGTTAAAATTTAAAAATATGTAAACAAATAAAATAATTATTATTTGTTATACTCTAAAACACCGATGTTACAAACCGGTTCAATTATTTTATAATTCTATATAGTGTGTCTAGTTTATGAGGATGTAATTATGATTTCAAAATATTAAAAAATCATCTTAGTAAAATTAATAACTTCTTTGTTCCATTCAGAATCTAAGATAAATCGTTTTATACTATTAAAACGAAATTTTTGTAGAATTTTTTTTTTTTGTAAACATTGTTATTATTTATTTAATATATCAACTATTAGGTATATCTAAATAACTATATAAAAGAATAAAAAAACATTATTATCGAATTATTGGCGATTATGTGATATTAAAAAAAATAAAAAAAAAAATACGTATTATTAATTAAATAAAATGTTGTTTTGAAAATATTGTGACGATTGATTATTGTGTTTATTTAAATTCGTTCAAAAACAAAATGTATTAACACTCATTTATTTTGTTAGAATATCAACCTATATGTATCTATGTATGTATCTATTATGATATAATTTATATTCTTACCTTAATCGTAGCACTTTTGGTACAATCATTTTTCCCGTGTATGTTCTCAAACAACCGATTTAAATAATTTTTATACTTTATTGAAAATATTTATTATAAGGACGCAAAAAAAAAAAAAAAACTCGTGTTTCTCCGAACTAACCGCCGCCGTTACGAGCGCTCACAAATCACAACTAATACTATCACTATTTTCTATAGGAACAGATTCGCAAACGAAGAACGCCCTTGTCCACCAACATGTCCTCCTACTTTTCACCGTTAAACGTAAATAATTTTACTTTCCCTGTCGTCTGTTATTGGATAACAAAACGGCGAGATGGAATGAATACGTAAATGAATGAACCACGTATTTTATAATATACGAGTACTTACCTAAGTATTTTTATTTACTAAAACCATCATATATAAATAATTAAAAAGACGTCGCTACACATACACCAATATTATTCTCTACGCCTTACAAACGTACGGCTCAGTAAATTTTGCGTTTACCAAAATGAACTTTGTGCTTTTAAATCGGGGTGAATTTTTCTAATAAAAAACTTAAAGGTAATATCGTATTCTTGTTTATACGTTGGTTTTTCGGATGTTTTAATTTTTAGACGAGATATAAACATTTTCAAATGTGATATTTCATGCATTCATATTTCGTTCAAAAATTAAAACTTCCGTTCTTCCCTCAACGTTTGATAGTAGGCCAATTCAATTCAATATTAAAATTAGTTTTGCTAAACGAAAATTTACTATGTCGTGCATTTGTACAACGAAGACAACAAATCCATGTGTATTGTCATCTAAAACATTTTACATTCTTCAAATATTCCGTCGTGGGGGATATACATTTTTTCAGTAAGTATCTAAGCGTCCTCACGCTATTTAGTATATTATTTTAAACACGTTATTGTTTAGTAATTATTATTTTGCTGTTCGAAATTTTGAAAACATAAAATCCTTGAATAAATTTTTACGAGAGTTGTTTTGATGATCTTAACCTTTAAACTGTAAGACAAATAAATATTATAATAAACAAAATATATACTAAAGGTATAATATTGTGTATTTGCCGTGAAATTAGAATAACTGTCGAATAATTAAGAATTCAGTTTCGGAGTGTTGTGAAATATTGTTTTTAGTCGATTTTTTATACAAGAAAATGATCTTTCGCACGTGACCGAACTTAAAAATGTTATTCTGAGTACAGCGACGATTCTAATCGTTCTATTATGATTCTAATACTAAAGACGTTTTACTAAGATGTGTTATTTTTCTTGAAAAATACATTTTTGGTTAGTAAAGTCCTCAAAATATTATTCACATTATACCATACACGACACGGATTTTTTCACACGATGGTACTAAAACAATTTCTAGATTTTCAACAGTTTTTTTTTTACCAAAAATTTAAAATCCTAACAAACAAGACGATAGTTTTGTTGGTTTTTTGGATTACGTTTGCTACAAAAGAAAAAAACAAAACTAATAAGTACTATAATTATCTTATCAGTTTACTGAACTTCACTCAGAATTTTTCTTTCTTGCGATAATTTGTCGTTTTTTTCAATATATGTACATCAAATATCCCTACATCTTTACATCTTTCAAACCTCCCCACAACAATTTTTCGTTTGGTTTATTTCATCTATAAATCTGTTTTCATTATACGTTTTCTGTTACTACTATTATTTTATTTATTTGAATAAACACCATTCGAATTTTTTTATATTATTAATATTTGGTGTTTAATATTTTATATCATATTAAAAATCCCGGAGACACAATACAAATTTAATAATCATTCTCCCTGAACATATTTTTTATAATCATCATAAATAATTATCAACTATAATACCGGTTAATAAAATAAAATCTATTTTCTATAAGATTCTAAGTCTAAAAGCGTAGTCACTTGCAACATGTTTCATTATTTATGATTGAGAATATCATTGAGCAATACATTATTAACTATAGGTTATACCAATACGAATATAGGTATAAATAATAAGTATGACTCATATTTGGTAGTCGACTACACGAGTAGTATGGTAAAACGATATTAGATGGATACAAATGAAAACCCTATCAACATAAATAGTTATTATTAAAAAAAAAAAAAAACCATTAAAAAGTATAAATGTAATACTTACTTATACCATAGAGTAAATATTTTTTAGTAATATTTAATACATGCTTATACTCACATTATAGTTTTACCTAAATGATAATTATACTTATTTGTCTAATATTAAATAAAATCTTCTTTTCTTCTTAACTTTTAGATTCTAAATGTAGCGTAAAATGTATTAATTTTACAAAGATGTGTGCTTTTTTTTCTCGGAAATCACTTTTTCGGTTAGTTAAAAATATTTCTTAATCATACCTTAAAGGATTTTTCACTCTGTGATCCTCTATTTGAAAACAGTTTCTAGATTACCTACCAACACTTTTGTTCTAAAAAATTCGAAATTCCGACGTCTTATGAAGATATAATTTTATTTTTGTTGATTTTTGGGTTTACTTTATAGAAGAAAGAAAGATACCATAAATAATACTATAATATTACCAGTTTACCTAGCTTAGCTCAAGAACGTCTTTTAGTAGTGATTTTTCGTTGTTTCCAGTATACTAACTAAATTACTCTACCTATATTCTATACAAAATAACCTTCCTAATGCACCAACTAGACAAAACTAACCATGAAAGACCACTCCCGCAAAGTTGTTGATCGGAACTAGTTTTCTGCCAGAAAAGTTACGCATGAAAAAAAAAAAACCCCATCGTAATAAAGCCAATACATTCCTCATCCCTTTTATGTCCAGTATCTAATACTAATGTGACTAATGAAATCGAAAATCAAATTTATTAATCAAATTGACTGCGCTACACCGTTTCCACTGACTGATTAAAAAAGAACTTAGTAAACATCATCGAATTCGATGCTTTGAGTACATGAAGAGTTAGTGGGATTCGTTTTAAGAAATTTAATATTGAGATCTTTGAACAAAGTGCCCGTAGCCTTTTAATTAAAGTACCTTACATCAAACGAATTAATTAACATAATATTGTAATTTTCGTACTTTGAGGCGTTCGTCGGCACAGCACTTAATTTGATATAGGTATATAATGTGCATAAACACTGTTAAAAGGGGGTGTGGTGGCATTATATTGTCATAATTTCTATTAATTACGCTCACTCGAGTCACGACAATTGTGACCATAACATAGTAGTGGTGTGTAGTGTGTATAGTTCAAACTATATCAAGCCGTCCCCCGTGCGAAGGACGACGTGTCCTTACCTCGCCCTCGTCCTCACCACTTTGGGAACATTTTTTTTTAAATATATATGTATAATAATAAAACGCTTTTAAACGTTCGTGTCATGATTAAAACAATAATATATTATTGATTAACGTTAGTCCACTAGACATAATATTTTATACACCTATTACCTATACCTACCTAATATATAATATAATAATTTGAAATTAATACGCGCAAGGAGATAACATAATATAATAATTATATTAGGTGTTGTTTTATAAGCCTGCTTCGATAGGTTATATAATAATAATAATAATAATAATAATAATAATAATAATCCCGTCAAAAACAAGCCCCGTTCGAAAAATACCTTTATTCGCCTAAAATACCGACTCTCGAGCGTCAGTAGGTCACGATCTGATTTCATATTATGTAAAGTCAAAACCATTCTAAGTATAGACGATCTCTATGTTAAAATAAACTTCAATGGTATATTTTAAATTTGCATAATATTATGCCTGCAGTGTCATGGAAAAAAAATCACTACGCCCCCCCCCCCATTCTGATTCAAGCACATTTTTTAGTGCCAATAATTAGTGCTCAATTTCTGTGAATTTCTGTGAATTAGCCAGCCTTTTATAATTCCTACTCTACCCACATGTTGGGAAAGTCGATCTTTCTACCGTCTAAATTGAACTCTTTGCAACTTTTCTAACAAATCGGCAGAGCAGGAAATATAGAAAGCTAATTAGATATCCACAAGAATTGTGCACTAATTATTGGCACTAAGAAATTTAAGAACTTCAGATTGAGAGGGAGGAGTTAACATACGTAAAATATCTAGTAAAAAGGCGATAGAAATAAGGAAGCGCAAAAATTAGGGAATTAGTTAAGAAGGTAGGATATAGTAATTAATTTACAAAAAAAAAGAATGTTTAAAATAATAAAGAGACGGTTAATTTGTAAATTTCCATTTTTCCCAATTATAAAGAAAATTACCTACAAGGAAAATAAAAAAAATAACACATCTAATACATCGGTTAAAAGACATTTTTTACCAGAAACAACCCCTGAAGTCGATGATTAGAACAAGATATCTGGTGTAAAAACTATTTCACAAAGAAAAAGAAAAATCGACACATTATTATAGTGAAACAAATAAATTCCTCCTGCACTCAGAATATTAAAAACGATTAAAATAATGTCTTTGGTCCTAGCCCTCCCAGGGAAGATAGGCGTAGATCGATTTTGTTTAATTTTCAATACTTATACATAGAATTTTAAAAACATATACATTTGTACATAAACTAACGATTTGGTAACGTTACCTATACCAATACGCGACGTACAATAATTTCGAAAATGCATACACTTATTTAATTTATACAAAAATATAGAGAACACAATTATACGAGAAAAAAAAACGCCAACAATGAACTTAAGCTCTTCTTCCCCAGGACCAAATGTATAATTAAATAATAATATTTTATTAAAAAAGAAAAATAATAAAAAAAAAAATATCTTCTTTATTGTCTATTGTAATGTGTTGCGCGTAAAGGTTATATTAATAGGTACCGATTAGTACATCGCGGACCGCCGTCATCGTCGTGGTTAAACAAATAATAAAAAAATAAAAAACATCGTCCGTAGAGATCATAGGGCACAGGCGATCCTATAATATATTACATTGTTCTAACACGCCGAATGATTGGCGGCGATTGTCGTCCCGTCAAAATCTGCAGTAAATTATAAAATATATATACGATAATATTGATCCGGTTTTGGTATACTGTTGCACAACGCGTTATTATTATAACATATACACATAGGAATAATATTTTGATAATTTCGTGACCACTCTTGACAATCAGACGTCTGCAGTGTCCGTGTAAACACGGGACTCGAGT